GTCGCGTATACTTAGCTTTGTACCAAACAACTTTCGTTGCAAACAATTTCTCATGCAACATGTAGTTCGCAAGAAAAATTAAGACGATTTAGCTAAATGACTCACCCTGTGAAAGTAATTAATTCTAGAAACATGCGATGTGTGTTGTATGTTTCAAACCTGAAACGTGCAATTACGGGAGCAAAGGATTCTTTTGAAGCGTGTTTATTTAAAGAAAAAGTGCAGCGGGATAGTGTCATTCTGAACGAATTTGTCCAGTCGTGAGGTGGATTACGCAACGCAATGATATCGAGCGGTGTGCTGCACAGGGTGTTCCGGAAAATGCGGTGCAACCGGAACATAAGTAATCCTTTGTGTGAAAGATTGGAAACGTTTTGAATAGTTAGAGAAACTCGAAATCTTTTCAAAGTTACGAACGTGACGCAAACAGTTTACTATTCGCAATTAAAATGAAGAAAAACATACGAGACAGAATAAGAGAAAAACAAACTTTCTAACTTCAATTTTGATAAACACAGCAGAATGTGCAATGGACAAGAGGAAACGGCGGATATTATGCACTTATGACAAATACGAATATGTTTAATACAAAAATTTAACGACATTAGAAGAATCCAAGGATGTTCTTACATTATTAATAACTTGTTGAAACTATTAGAAGAAGAAAGACATTTGCATCTGTCTTATGTTTGAATTTCTGAACAGTGTAAAGCGAAACTGAGGCAAGAAGCGAAGATTATGTATTAATATTTATTCAATATATTGAATAATAAGGTGTACGAAAAATAAATGTGATAACTTTATTTTATATAGCCTGTTGTTAGTATGATATATGCAGGATTTTTTTAATATATAGGTCCTTCTTTTCATTTCTTTGTAACCGCAAGGTAATTGACTTAGTTCTATACAATAATTATAATACAAAAGTCCAACTTCTCGATTTTGAAACGTTTCTATATTTCCCTGCAAATAAATGAAGAGGGTACAAATGATGTTTAAAATTATTCATGCCTTATTATATGCATGGTAGAAATATTATTTCGTTTATCATTTCATTTCTTCAGCATTGTTATTTTCTTAAAGAGGAACGGAGAAATTTGATGCACTTATGACAAATATGGATATGTCTAATACAAAAATGTAACGACAGTTTAGTAATGAGTGTCTACGACGCACAGTGGTCGGTTTCCATGCAAAAAGCGGAAAAAATATATGATAAGAAAAATTATGTATTTAAGCCTTACTTTTTCATTATACAGGGTGTCCCAAAATTATGGTATTTCCGAGAAATGAGGGGTTCCTGAGGTGATTCGAAGCAACTTTTTCCTTTACAAAAATTTTCTCCGAGGCATCGTTAACGAATTATTCATGAAAAACACTGACCAATGAGGGGCGAGTTCGCTTGGCGCAAGGCGACCGAGCCAATGAGCGAAACCGAGCTCCGTGCGCTCGTTGGCTCGGCCGCCGTGCACCAGACAAATTCGTCTCCTATTTGTCACTGTTTTTCGTTAATAACTCGTAAACGAAGACGCGAATTGTATTTTCGCTGAGGAAAAAGTTACTTCAAATAACCTTAGGAATCTCTCTCTCTCTCGCGCGCGCGCGTTTTCCGGAAGTACCATATTACTAGTACATATATGTGGGTTTTTGTTAGGATAGAATAATGAAAACAAAATCTACTGCTATTATTGTTTACAAATCAATTTTCTGAAAATACACACAATTTCTGTTTTCAATTCAACTCAATTAAATTGAACGTCCTCTCCATTTACATGTTGCGAACATTGTTCCGAAACCAGTAGTTCGATTGATTCTTTGAGAAATGGTTTCGATTTCTTGATCGTTCTTTTCCTCAAACTCGACATGAACAGGTTGGATGTGAGTCAACCTACTCAAAACATTTCGCGTAACTGGGTAACCCATAGGTTTCGCGGTATGCTTCGTGGCATGTGCCATTTTAGCATTATTATTAGATGAGTTCTCTAACAGCAGCTGATAGAAGCCAATTTTTATTTTGCTATTAATGTAAGGCGTCACTCTTCAAAATGCGATCAAAGCGAACACTGAACTCCACCGAACTCATAATTAAAGAATGGAATGAAAATTCAACATATTCAATTGGACATAAAGAAGCTATGTAGCCATGTAGCCGTGTCCAAAATGAACAAATGGTAAAAAAGACCATATTAAATAATATTTTCAGTTTACTTGACGAAAGTAGTTAGAATTGGATCATTTAGTTTTATCAATTGTAATATGTGAGAATTAGATTTTATGCATTTATGACAAAAATGTCTAAAAGTCAAATGCAAAACAATAAAATCATTTAAGGGATTTTAAAATTCCGTTGTATTATTTTGAATTCCTTGAAATTATTACAAATAAAAATAAATGTCTATGTAGCACTAGTATCTAGCAATTAAAGCAGAGATATTTTATTTTTCACATAAAGATCCACATTCGAATGGTGTAATAAATGTATTCCTTGTGTACCTCGAAAAAGGGAAACATTATTTAATAAAAAAAAGTGACGAAATCATTTTGATCTTGTCATAGTTTTTGGAGCCAGCATTCGACGGTCAACTTGTTGACAGGATTGCCANACCTTAGGAATCTCTCTCTCTCTCGCGCGCGCGCGTTTTCCGGAAGTACCATATTACTAGTACATATATGTGGGTTTTTGTTAGGATAGAATAATGAAAACAAAATCTACTGCTATTATTGTTTACAAATCAATTTTCTGAAAATACACACAATTTCTGTTTTCAATTCAACTCAATTAAATTGAACGTCCTCTCCATTTACATGTTGCGAACATTGTTCCGAAACCAGTAGTTCGATTGATTCTTTGAGAAATGGTTTCGATTTCTTGATCGTTCTTTTCCTCAAACTCGACATGAACAGGTTGGATGTGAGTCAACCTACTCAAAACATTTCGCGTAACTGGGTAACCCATAGGTTTCGCGGTATGCTTCGTGGCATGTGCCATTTTAGCATTATTATTAGATGAGTTCTCTAACAGCAGCTGATAGAAGCCAATTTTTATTTTGCTATTAATGTAAGGCGTCACTCTTCAAAATGCGATCAAAGCGAACACTGAACTCCACCGAACTCATAATTAAAGAATGGAATGAAAATTCAACATATTCAATTGGACATAAAGAAGCTATGTAGCCATGTAGCCGTGTCCAAAATGAACAAATGGTAAAAAAGACCATATTAAATAATATTTTCAGTTTACTTGACGAAAGTAGTTAGAATTGGATCATTTAGTTTTATCAATTGTAATATGTGAGAATTAGATTTTATGCATTTATGACAAAAATGTCTAAAAGTCAAATGCAAAACAATAAAATCATTTAAGGGATTTTAAAATTCCGTTGTATTATTTTGAATTCCTTGAAATTATTACAAATAAAAATAAATGTCTATGTAGCACTAGTATCTAGCAATTAAAGCAGAGATATTTTATTTTTCACATAAAGATCCACATTCGAATGGTGTAATAAATGTATTCCTTGTGTACCTCGAAAAAGGGAAACATTATTTAATAAAAAAAAGTGACGAAATCATTTTGATCTTGTCATAGTTTTTGGAGCCAGCATTCGACGGTCAACTTGTTGACAGGATTGCCAATATCGCGAATGAAATGATTATGAGCAGAAAGCGTTTTCAATTTCGCAGTTACATTCGTATTTCGGATTATCAAACATTCGTACACGAACGAACGACGCATTCGAGGATTTAACGGTCTGCTCTACGCCAATTAATAACAATAATAAACCAGTGCAAAAGACTTTTACGAGCGCGCTATAACTTTAATTGCTCGACTGCGCCCGAGTTTTATATTCCGCGAGACATAAAGTCCCTGGATCACAGCGACAGAGTACGAACAAAGGAAGAAGATTTTGCGAGCTGTCGATTCAACCGATACCCTAATCGAAATAGAGAGAAGAAGCGCTCAGGTAATTAAGGTGTCGATGACAGGTGATCGAAGAAGACGCGATCAGGCCTATCGTAAATGGAATGTAGGCTGCAACTGGGATGCATCATTGCACTCAAGTGTGCAGATTACTCTTATAGCCGGGAAGCTTGACAGCAATGGTTCCTCAGAAGCTGCATCCACGGAACGGGACTTTTAATTAGGCGCGTACCAACAGTGTCAACAATAGGTTATTGTTCCGCCGCGCCAAAAAGGAAGGAAAATCTCAGAATTTCTGGTTGAAAGGATGGAATTCAACCGTTTGAGAAAAATCCTGAATATCCCGGCGGACAATTTTCGAACAATGGGTTTATTCAATATACGCGTACAGTACATGCTCATTAAAACTTCCCAGTCCTCGGTCAACGAAATCAATGACAAATTAATTAGTTGTTGTTAACATTATTATGTTGTGCAGTTGTAGATGTTTTAAAATTAGGATTATCAAAAAATGAAAAATATTTCATAAAGGGAAAGGAATAAAGAAAGGAAAGAATGGAATTAATTATTGTTAAGTTCTTTTTTTTTAACTAAATCAAAGAATTTATAATGTTCGTAAGAAATAAAGTTTTCGTTTTTGTTCAAACACTGTGGGGAATTTCTGAAATAAATAGCACGGAAAATGAGGCAAACTCGGATATAAACTGATTTCTCCGATAACTATAATACTTTTACGATCGAAATAAAAGTACGAAGCTGTTACTTGCAAATGTCGTTACGGCGCATCGTTGGTCCAATTTTGATATGTATCGATTATTAAAAATTACGTATGTTATTCGAACATTGCGTTATTATATTTCGATTTATTCTTTTATGTGTAATGTCTGATTGCGCCACAATTTTAGAAACATTGTTTCGTTGGAGAATGAAAATCGAGGACAATTATTGTTACACCCGGTAACTTTCGATTGTTTATACACAGAAATGGCGTTGTTTCGCGAGATATTATTGGTTTCGGAGGATAGTAAATTAAACTAACGTGGAAAATAAAGGTGTTTGCAGACATTTGTTTACGAACCTTCGTGATTCCTTCGATGAAAGCTCTGGTGGCGAGTTCACCGGGGCCGTCCACTGTTTTCCCATCATCGTCCGGGCCCCAGGAGGCACTGTAAATGTCGATGTGCTGAGGATTTAAACTCAGAGATCGGGCTTCAACAGCGTCTGTCACGTCTCCGTCTAACATCCTGACCCCTAAGGGCAGAAAAAAACAACAGAGATTTAATTAAATATCATTTTTATATGTTTTACATCCATCCCCACACACTCACTTTTCTACTTCCGTGTTTGACTCTTTCCAAGTTAACCCTTTTGCTAGAAGGCAATATTCGGTTCGATATAAACACTTAAAGAATATCTTTAATTATAGTTATCAAAATAATTTGATGATTCGAGAGTTAATTGTATCCGTTTCAAAGCAGAATAATGAGAGTTGTTCGTGTGTATACGTCTGAATTGATTTCACAGAAATAATAAAAAATGAGCTGTCACATGACAACTGTTCAATGCATTGAGTGCTAAATTAACAATCGCAAAAATCGTACATGGTCAAGATTTAAAGACATAGAATCCGAATAGTTAAATTTGGCACACCCGATATGCTTGCACAAAAATTGATCTCTTTTCAAAATTGAAAAGAATCTTTATGCATTTATAGCATGTGCAAATTTCTAACCTACACGCACATGAAGAAACATTAATAATGTACTTTTATTTTCATTACAAAAAATCTTTTGGTCAATTGAATCAAGAAATTTAATACGAAACTACAAATTCACGTAAAGATTTAGCCGCGTACTAAATAGTAAAAATTGGAGTGCAATTTTACACTACAACTTCGATGCAAGTAAATGAGAATTTTTATTCTCCTATCAAAAGACACAAGACGCATTAAAAAATACCGCAGCACTACTTTTCACTGTATTAATATCATTAACCCTTTAGCAGCGGTTGAGTTTTCTATCTTTTGGTATGAAATCGCGGACTAGTTCTACTTGTTACGCAGATGCCTTCTAAGAATTCGATTTAAAAAGGTATAAAAAGGGAAACGAAAAAGATAACAAATTTTTTCAAATTTAGTTATTTTTGTAAAATTTTAGAAAATATTTAGAACGGAAATTTCACATTTTTCACAAACTTCTGTTTGATACAATTGACAATGGAAATGTATTTTTTACAAAGATCCGCAGTTCAATGATAATACACTGAATAATATCATTGATTATCATAATAATAATATGATATATATATAATATAATATAATAATAATATCAATAATATGATTGATTGAAATATTTATGTAGACCCTTCAGCTTCGAGT